GGGTTGGGGTTTGGGGTCAGGTTTGAGATTTGGGATCTGGGATTTGGGATCAGGTTTGGGCTTTGGGATGCGGGATTTGGGGTCAGGTTTGGGGTCTGGGATTTGGGGTCAGGTTTGGGCTTTGGGATTTGGGGTGCGGAATTGGGATTTGGGGATGGATCCATCCCCGCAGTCTCCATGTCCCGTTTTCCCTGGAGCAGGCGGTGGCAGCCCACAGCATTCCCTGGATCCCAAATCCCACAGATCCCACAAATCCCATGGGATTCACGCGGCAGAGCCTCCACGGCGCTGGCACCCAGCGGATTTATCCCAAAAACCCTCCTGGAGTCATTCCATGGGGAAACTGAGGCACGCAGCCCGCTTTTCCCAAAAAATCCCGAATTCCCTGGAGATCTCCCGCCCTTATTAGCCCGCTTTTCTTGCCTCAATCCCAAATTGCCTTGAAATCCCAAATCCAGGTGCTCTCCCTCAATAAATCCCATTTTCCTCTCCAAAAAAATTCCTCTGGGAATGGCCAGGAACGATCGGGAATTCTCGGGAATGAGCAGGAATGGTTGGGAATGGTTGGGAATGGTCGGGAATGGCCAGGAATGATTGGGAATGACTGGGAATGATCGAGAATGGCCGGGAATGATTGGGAATCATCGGGAATGGTTGGGAATGATCAAGAATGATTGGGAATGATCAGGAATGACCGGGAATGATCAGGAATGATTGAGAATGGCCAGGAATGATCAGGAATGACCGGGAATGGCCAGGAATGATCGGGAATGGTTGGGAATGATTGGGAATGGTCGGGAATGATCGGGAATGGCCGGGAATGGTTGGGAATGATTGGGAATGATCAAGAATGATTGGGAATGATCGGGAATGGTTGGGAATGGCCGGGAATGATCGGGAATGATCAGGAATGATCGGGAATGGTCGGGAATGATCGGGAATGATCGGGAATGGCCGGGAATGATCGGGAATGATCAGGAATGACCGGGAATGATCGGGAATGATCGGGAATGATCAGGAATGATCAGGAATGGCCGGGAATGGTTGGGAATGATTTGGAATGATCGAGAATGATTGGGGATGATCAGGAATGACCGGGAATGATCGGGAATGGTTGGGAATGGCCGGGAATGATTGGGAATGATCAGGAATGACCGGGAATGATCGGGAATGGCCGGGAATGATCGGCCCCTTTGCTGTGAGGACGAATCCAGCTCATCCTCCTCCCACTTTTCCTGCTTTTCCCGCTTTTCCTGGTCTCCCTCCCCTCCTGCACTTGGTGCGGGGCCGCTCCAAGGTGGAAGGGCTCCAATCCCTCCAGAATTCCCAAAAAATATTCCCAAATGCCGCTGAGATTCCCAAACTGGGCCCAGATCCCTCTGATATTCCCCAAACTCGGCTCAAATCCCTCGGGAGCGGATCCCTGGGCTGGGATCAGATCCCTGGATTCGGATCACATTCCTGGATTCCCAGCGGATCCCTGGATTATCTCCCTGCATGGCACGCTCATGAATATTAATGAGCGCTTATGAATACTCACGAGGAGCTCAGCCAATCGCAGCCGCGCTCGGGGCCCTGAACCCCTCACGCCCACCATTCCCGAATTCCCTCAATCCCGGAATTCCTGGCTCTCCCCAGGTAGAGCCTCCTCCAGTTCCGCTTTAATTCGGCTCTCCCCAGGTAGAGCCTCCTCCAGTTCCGCTTTAATTCCAAGGGTTTTTATTGATTTCACTTTATTTCCATTTTTATTGTTTTTTATTTCCTGCCCACACCCCGTGCTGAGGGAGGGGGAGGCACCAACCCCACCCCGAGCTGCTCCCGCTTTTCCCAAAAATCCCTGGAAAAGCCCCAGAAGGGAAGTGGGACACAAATTCCAGCCCCATCCCTCCCTTTTCCCGGCGGGAAGCGTGGCTCGGGTTGTCCCAGTTTGGGAATTCCAGAGGGTTTGGAGGCAGGAGCAGAGCAAGGAAAACAGTGCTGGGAATACCCGGGGATACCAGGGAATGCCAGGGAATATCGGGAATCTCCGCTGGAGCCGCGTTCCCAGCGCTCCCAGTCTGTCCATCCCGGGGCTCCGCGCTCATCCCTCTCCCAGCGAGGGCTGCGGGGCCTGAGGGTGTCCGGAATTCCCGGAATTCCTGGGAATTCTGGGAATGCTGCGGTCTCCAGAAGGGTCACTCTGCGTCCAGCTGGGAATTCTGGGCTCTCCAGAGGGGTCACTCCACGTCCAGCCGGGAATTCCAGGCTCTCCAGAGGGGTCACTGCGTGTCCAGCCGGGAATTCTGGGAATTCTGGGCTCTCCAGAGGGGTCACTCCGTGTCCGGCCGGACATCCCGGGGCTTCTCCGGGCTCTCCAGAGGGGTCACTCCGTGTCCGGCCGGACACTCTGGGCTCTCCAGAGGGGTCACTCCGTGTCCGGCCGGACACTCCGGGCTCTCCAGAGGGGTCACTCCGTGTCCGGCCGGACGCTCCGGGCTCTCCGGCCGCGCCTCGTCCATGCCGAAGTCACTCCAGTCGGAAAAGCTCTCCGGGCAGCCCTGGGCGCTTCCCAGCCCGGCCCAGCTGGGAAAACAGCGGGAAAAGGGATGCAGGGAATGTCCGGATCTCCTGGGCAGCTCCATCCCAGGAGGGAGGAAATTCCCATCCCAGGGACGTTCCAGCCTCCCTGGCCGGGCTCCTCTAGCCCGGGATCCGCAGGGAGGGGCTGGGAATTCCCGGGATCCACAGGAAGGAGCTGGGAATTCCCAGGATCCAAAGGGAGGAGCTGGGAATTCCCGGAATCTGCAGGGAGGAGCTGGGAATTCCCGGGATCTACAGGGAGGAGCTGGGAATTCCTAGGATCCAAAGAAAGGAGCTGGGAATTCCCAGGATCCACAGGGAGGGGCTGGGAATTCCCAGGATCCACAGGGAGGGGCTGGGAATTCCCGGGATCTGCAGGGAGGGGCTGGGAATTCCCGGGATCCACAGAAAGGAGCTGGGAATTCCCAGGATCCAAAGAAAGGAGCTGGGAATTCCCAGGATCCAAAGAAAGGAGCTGGGAATTCCCGGGATCTACAGGGAGGAGCTGGGAATTCCTAGGATCCAAAGAAAGGAGCTGGGAATTCCCAGGATCCGCAGGGAGGGGCTGGGAATTCCCGGGATCCACAGGAAGGAGCTGGGAATTCCTGGGATCCGCAGGGAGGGGCTGGGAATTCCCGGGATCTGCAAGGAGGGGCC